TAGTTAGCTCACCCCCGTGATGGGCGGGCTGTGTTCTGTGATCATTCAGCTCTCAGCTGAGACACGTCCCTAGTTAGCTCACCCCGGTGATGGGCGGGCTGTGTTCTGTGATCACCCAGGTCTCAGCTGAGACATATCCCTAGTTAGTTCACCCCCGTGATGTGCGGGCTGTGTTCTGTGATCACCCAGGCTTCATCTATTCCTAATGTTTCCCTATCCTGTTACCCTCTGACCACTGGGCATTTGCCCAGTGGTTCACTTGGATGGTTCAAAACTATTCTTAGCTCTTAAAAGCTGGTAAATTAAAAAGAAGAGAACTTACAAGTGGCCAGCCTCTTCTGCCCTGAATAGTAAGCTTGTAAAACAGACTCTTTTCCTGGGGATAGAGAACACGGATCAGTTAGAAATAAGGGCTAGCCATTCAGTTTGGGAGAGGACTGAAAAGCACCTGCAGGAAGGCTGTTGAAGAAGATGAGGCCCTGTGGATTTCCCCTCCATTAATTTTTCACAAAACTATAGAATCATAATTGTGTTGTCTAATATATGGCCATGTCACCTGCAACTGGGAGGGGGCGGGGGAGAAAATGACTACCCTCAGCTTCCAATTATGCTACGTTAACAGTTTAAATTTTATTAAGTAAATAATTATCTCTGTGGGTTTAACAAAAAACAGAACAAAACACAGCACAACACCCATTAGTCATCTGAGGTAAAGCTGAAATATACATTTAACACACGCGCTTCTTATTCAGTGCCCTGATTCAGAGCAAGGCGTGAGCGATTCGTACCTCCAGGGGGTAAATGACTAGCTTTTTTGGTAAATTGGGTTTTTGTTTTCATTTCCTGTTAGATTCTTTGTCTTCAGTTTTTAATTTATTTTGAAGCAAAGGCAAGAACAAAGTGGGGTATGTGGGTTTCTCATCTTGATCTATGCGAGAATTTGGCATGTGTCTGGGGGGTTCGTGCAGGGCCGGGTTCAGAAGGAAACAGGGTACATGAATGTTGCTTGGAAGAAGTAGGGAGGCAGACGGCAGAGCTGTGGACACGCTGATTTATCCTGAAAAGCAGCAGCTAGTAAACCCTCTTCTAAAGTGTGCCGGGTCAAAAGCAAAGGCTGTGGGGACAGTATTAGGAGATAAAATCCTGAGACAAAATTGAGAGATGAGCGATATTTTCCCTACTGATTCTAAGAAGTCAAATCAAAGCCTTACGTGTGTGGCTGGCACCAATTTCGCTGTCTACTTGCCCAGTGATGACAGTTGCTCTCTCTCTCTCTCTCTCTCTTTCTCTCTCTCTCTCTTTTACTTTCTCTTTAAAAAAATCTTCATCCTTTTTGGGGTGGGGCAGGGTCTCACTCTGTTGCCCAGGCTGAGGGCAGTGGCAAGATCATGACTCACTGCAGCCTTCACCTGCCAGGCTCAAGTGATCCTCCCGCCTTAGCCTCCCAGCTAGCTGGGACCACAGGTGTGCACCACCACGCCCAACTAAATTTTTAATTTTTTTGTAGAGAGGGGGTCTTGCTATGTTGCCTAGGCTGGTCTCAAACCCCTGGATTCAAGAGCTCCTTCCACCTCGGCCTCCCAAAATGTTGGGATTACAGGCGTGAGCCACTGTGCCAGACAACCATTCTAACTAGATAACGCAGGGATGGGGTACTTCCAGGGTGCTGGCCCCTTATATAGGCTTTCCCATCATGGAGTCTCTCTTGGCTCATGACAACATCTGGATTCTCTTGCCTATGTGGTACAGGTTTAGGCAGCTAAAATTGCCTTGGGCAAGAAATGAAGGTGATTATGAGGACACCACTCCGTAAAGAACCCTTTTGTCTTGGTTGGCGGCTAAGTTCGTCTAGTTCCTCATGGGAGAAGAAGGACAAGTATGTCCATCTGGGGCTTCCTTCAGCTTTATTGGCCAAGCCATCTCGCTCTGGCTTGAATCTCCTGGGAGTGCTGTGAATCGATTGCTGAGGGTCTGCTGTGAGTGTTGGCTGCTAGGGGCTTAGAGCTGCTCCATTAAACTGTCCTGACATAGGTGGGTTATCTGCCTGGGGCGCTTACTCCTGAAACAAGTGAACCACCTGCTCCTGCGGGCAGCAGTTTGTGAGCAGAGGATAACTTTTGCTTGGGTACAATGACGACACAAAAGGCCATCCCCTTGTGTCAAGATGGACAACCAGGTGCAGTCCGTGTTCTGGAGCTCCCCGTGGGACTGGGCTGGAGCCAGTCTCCACTGAGGACCACATCCTTAACTTGCTTCTCTGGCCCTATGCTGTTCCCTCACTCGCCTTCACAGGGCAATGCTCCCCCAGTCAATTAGCCTCACAAGAACCCTCCTCTTAGCTCTGGTTCTAGGAAACTGACCTAGGACAGTCATATAGTTTGGCTGTGGTCCCATCCAATCTCATCTCGAATTATAATCCCCATGTGTTGAGGGAGGGACCTGATGGGAGGCGATTGGATTATGGGGACAGTTTCCCCCATGCTGTTCTCGTGATAGTGAATGAGTTCTCACGAGATCTGATGGTTTTATAAATGGCAGTTCCCCTGGGCTCGTCTCTCTCACCTGCCTCCATGTAAGACATGCCTGCTTCCCCTTCTGCCATGGTTGTGTTTCCTGAGGCCTCTTCAGCCATACAGAATTGTGAGTAAATTACAACTTTCCTTGATAAATTATTCAGTCTCAGGGAAGTTCTTTACAGCATGTGAAAACAGATTAATACAAGGTGCTGTGGGAAGGCAAGTTTCGTTGACTCCACCCACAAGAGGAATTCAATAGGCCTGAGTGAGGCTTTGGAGGCTGCAGTTTTATTAAGCACACAGGTGATTCTGATGAATATGAGCCCAGGACCACACCTGGGGAAGCACACGGGCCATACCTAATGAAGTGAGTCAAGGATTAGTCTCCTGAGGGCTAGAGTCTGTGTCAACCTGCAGAAGGGCTGCAGGTATTATTACTTGGGCTAGGCACTCTGACTTCAGCTCTGGGCTTCCTTGTGATGACCTTTGTAATGGTTAATATTGAATGTCAACTTAATTGGATGGAAGGATGCGAAGTATTGTTCCTGCATGTGTCTGTGAGGGTGCTGCTAAAGGAGATTAACATTGAGTCAGCGGACTGGGAAAGGTA